GCTTCAAGAAGACAAATCCAGATCCAAGTTGCAGGGTTGTCCTGGTGGTAGACAATTGTTCACAATGGCTGTAGTTCTCAGGACCACAAATGGCAAGAATACTCAGTCTTTTGAACCAGAAGAGTAACTTCACAGGGTGCATTGTGTTGTCATGGCAAACCAGAATCCTTGTAGATACTTAAATCATAATTAAGATGGTACCATCTGAATAGAGTTTCTTCAATTGCTACACACCTTGAAGGAGAAACAAAAAAAATGTTTTTGGCTTTGTCTCTATTATGTTGTAAGAGTAAGCAATATTGATAATCTCTTGGTGAAGGAACAGAATATATCTTTAAAGTCTTTTGATAGATTCAAAGGCACTTTGTTTCCAAACATGCTGGATAGGTCAGTTAATGTTCATATGCTACTGACATTGCTGTTCTTCCTCTTCCAATGTTTTTAATTGAAACATGTGAAGAGCACACTCCCAAAGTGAGCTACTGGACCTATTTTAGTTAATGAAAAAATTTTAATTGACCTTTGTAGAACCTAGTTTTCCCTTATAAAGTGTGTCCTTTATTTACAAGTTTAGGAAATTTGAATATGAGATGACTTTATGATGGCAAAGCTTCTGATGGCAAATAATATATGCAGACTGTGTAGCTGCAGCATCAAAGCTATGAAAATTTAACATAAGTAATCAACATAATTTTATTTTTTGAGACAGAAGATATATTTTGGTTTTAGCCCAGGAAATCCTTAATTGGGTACTTAATTTCATACATGTGACTCTTCTATTGGCTTGGAACAACTCCTATACATAGACTTAAATACATAATTCGTATTCTTAGGGATTTTAACTGTATGATGATAGTCCTACCCTTATTACTATGTGATTCTTCAATCACCTGTGAATGATCTATACCTGATATTTTGTGAACATTTAATGTGTTTCATGTATTGCATGTATTTTGTGAATATATTGAATGAAACTAATTTTTTTTTTTGTAGAGCTAGTGAAAGATTTGTGCATACAAAAAACCTACTTTAATAACAAGCAAAGTCCCTTTCTATGAACTTCCAATACTAAGATTATTATAGCTGTATTTACCCTATTAGACACTAGCTGTTTGGATGATAAAATGATTAACAGTGAAAGAGGACAATATTAAGCTTCCATGTAAAAGGTTTGGCATAAGGATAACAGTGTCTGTTGGTGGGTTAACTCTACAAAAGGTTTAGGATTTTAGCATTGCAAAATCAGAATGATGCCATCACAGCGAAGGCTGTCTTTCACTTACATTTCTTGGATATAGCTTACCAAGATGTCATGATCCAATCAGTGAGAAATGCCCCTGTCCCAATTAAAGTGCAAACAAAACCATATACTGAAGTCAACAACACAGATTTTATTTAACAATCATTGTGAGGTAGAAAGAAAGAAGTAGAAAAGGCAGAGGGGAAAGAGAGATATAAAGTGGAAGATAATTGCCACCTGTGAATCCAGCAGCGTCCCTCCAGTCCTTGATCACCCTGTGCTTCTTGGTGGTGGGGTTCTTAATGTCTTTCAAAATTTTTCACTTACTTATTATGTGTTCATTTAAGCAAACAAAGGAATGCTTATTGGCTACACTATTCTCTTATTCTATTGGTCACATGATTACCTCTCTTCTAATGATAGGAAGTTCATGTCCTTAGTTTTTCTCTTTTGAGTTGGTGGGATTATTGGGTTGGTGGGTTGTGTGTCAGTGCTCATGATCTTCCCCTGCAGGTATTACCTTTTATCCAGATGGAGACGATTTCAGAGCAGTTGCTGGGCTGGCTTTCCTTGAGGCCCAAAAATTCTGCATTCTTTGTGATCATTTTCAATGATAGATTCTTCTCTCCAAGATTTGTTAACCTCCCCCATGAGATAACACTCAGACAATAGCACCACCTTTATCTTATCTCAGGCTCCTGATGTGGTGGCTTAATTTACTGTCCAAATTCCAGGCATGCACAGAGGTCTCTTCAGAGGGGCTTTGGTGATTATGGATGCGATCCATACCATAGCTTGGGGTGAGCTTTGTTTTACTGGTGATAAGCATATGAGCAGTTGCTCCTTGCAGAGCTTACCGCAGTGTGAAATTTTTTCTGGATGCATGGTCCAGGATGTACTACCCCAATCTCACCTCCACCAGGCCTAGAGTTAGTGCCATCCTGTCACTCCGTTCTGTGCTTATCTCATCTCATGGCAAAGTCCTTCTCCTTAACAGTGACCTTAACAGTGTTCGAGACAGACAACTGTGTTCTTTAAGGCATTGCACAAGATACAACCAATGAAGTGCTGCTTGATTTAATGTGTTTTTGGGCTTCAGAGGGTTTTGTCACAAGACGCATGAAATTAGTACTCTGTTTCTAAGCCAGACTGTTGAATGCCTTTGCCTTATCAAGTTTAAGAGTCCAGTTTAGTAGTCTGATATTGTACTGGATTATAAATATACAACTATATCTTTATGAAAAGTATATTCTGCCTCTAAAGATTCTTGTACTAAACTTCTGTAATTGTTCTTTTATCCATGAATGTCAGTGAGATTATAGAAGAGGTTACACTTACAGCTCAATGAAAGAAAAGATAGGCGCTTGGTTTGAAATCACGATAGCTAAGTGGACAACTATGCAGTTTACTCCGAGGGTGTTTCTTTTTCATTTATCCTACTGTGTTCTGCAGGTTAATAATGAGTGTCAATCTATGGGAAACAATATATGTGATAGCCTATTCTACTGAAGTGGTACAAATTTTCTCTGATGTCACTTCTGAAATTTCTGGGCAAAAGTGCATTTGTAATGCATGGATAGACATTCCTTTGCATGTCTTATCGTGTATTGACTTTGATGGGTTGCAGCTTCTGTTATTTACATGTCACTGAAAAATATGGTATTTTAACACAACATTACACCTTTTAATGTGTTGATGCTAAGTAGAAGGCAATTCATGGTAAATAAGCATGCAACCTTATGTGCAAATCCCTTTCACAGCAAAAAAAAAAGCAGAAGAAAAATAAAACCACAGCCATTAATCAAATAATAATTCAGTCTGGGACATGTTGTCCTCTTCTTTCAACTGGAGGTTTAACTGCCAGAGAGAAAAAGAAGCAGTGGACTTCTACAATGTTATCTGAAATAATTCTATAAAAAAAATTATGAAGATAAATGGTGCGGTTTGTCAAAGAAAAATGACAAGAATGATTAAACATAAGTACCACAATAAGTCTGTCCAGGTAGCTAGACTATTAAACATGGCTATTTTTTAAAAATGGAACTTGCATAAAGCTTATATAGTGATTGATTCAAAGTTGCATCATAAAGGAAAATAGTAAAAATCAATGTCAAGCAAAAATGAATGATAACTTAAAAATCATATGGGAGCCATGCTTGTTTGAAAATGAAATGTTGCAAAAGGTTCAAAAATCCATCAGGACATTTTGAAATTATACTTTTGACTTCAGGAACTCTGAACCTCTATTATGTTTTTGAAAGATAAACTTAATTTTGTAGTCATTTGTATAAGATAGTTTCAGTAAACCCCCCTGAAAATATTTCTCAAGATGATAAGATTCTGCAGCTTATGAGGCCATAACTACAAAAAAAAAAAGAAACAGCAAGCAAATAAAACCCACAAAACCCCAAAGCAAACAAGAAACCTACATGCCACAAAAAAACCCCAACAACAACAAAAAAAATCTACACTGCAAAAAAACAAAGCAAAACAAAACAAAACAACCACAAACCAGGATAAAACAAAACAAAAAAAACCCAAGAAAAATCCCACAAAAAACAACCATCAAAAAGACCCTAAAGAAACTAGCTCTGTCACAGCACCATGCTGTGAACATGAGGATTTTAAATAGCAAGAGTCAAATTAAGATGAAAGTCTGGCAGTATTGCAATAAAAAGGAGCTGGGATAGATAATATATAAATAAAAAAACAGGTTTGAATTATTAATAATTAAAAATAATTTTCAAGGATTCATAATGTATTTTATTCCTTTATCATTTTTCATATTTTATCTTTTGTGTGTGTTCTGCTCAACTTGGAAGTGGTAAATGTGTTTGGTATGAGGTTTTTTCCTATATTCTAAGGCACCTTCAGGTAAAGCCAAGGAAAGTTTTTTGCTACTATTTTTCTGTATCATGATCTATAGAGTTTGATTGTGATGCTGACTAATGATTAGAACCTCAGAAATACAATTTCTATTCTCTAATACTTTTTTTGTTAACATTTATACTCCTTTGACCTTTACTTTAACTAGCTGCATGGTTTTATGAACACAGGTAGAGTGCATAATTGATTCACTACACAGAGAATTCTATTCGAGACATTAATTTCTTTAACAGGTATATTTTACATTTGTACTTAATCTTCATTGCATTTAATGTTTATTACATAAAAATAGAATTCCTTTGAAAATTATTTCAGTAAAAATATCTAGTGTTCTTATTATATATTCAGTTTGCAGTATAGAAGATGTGTTTTTAAAGATCTTTGAAAAATATTGGACCTAATTATCTGTTGGCTTAGATTGGTAGTTTCATTTTCTAATCATGTGCTAGTAATGTACTCTAAGTACTCTAGAGTTATAGTGAAGGGAATCTTTGTAATTTTGATATGGGCTATCAAATCTGATTTTGAGAATGGCAACTTATTAGTTATAAAAATTGTCTTTTGTTACCTCAGAACCAACTGATTTTCTGGTTCCAGACCTGTCATTTAAACCTGTAGGGTTTTAAAGAATAAAAATTTCATCCAATCCCCTGATGCTGTTAGAAAGGTGATGAACAATCTGGGGGGTAGGGAATTCTGAATTACTTTTTTAATAAAATGATGACTAACAGACAAGGCTGGAAAATTGTTGAGTAAAAAAAAAAAAGAATTCTTATCTTTCTAAGAGCTTTTAGGGGAATAAAAATGGTTGATGAATGAAATGTCTTCTTGTATTTGCAAAAAGTAACTAAAATAAACCACCACTTCTTTCTAGCTAAGTAACCTGAAACAACTCACATTTGTGGATGTGTCAGCAAACAAGTTCCATTCTATTCCAATTTGTGTTCTCCGGATGTCTAATTTGCAGTGGTTGGATATTAGCAGCAACAGCCTGAAAGATCTCCCAGAAGACATAGACAGGTAGTTTATGTTTTAATTCAATGACAGATATAGGAACTCTTAAGTGAATTTAGAAAGTAAAATCTTCCAAGGGACACTGTTGATGGAAAGTTACATTTGGAAATGTATCAGGTATTTTTGCATGCAAATATTTCTGTTATTGCTGGACTGCGTCTGAGAACAAAAGCTAATTTTACTAGCTCATCGACGGCGGTCAGTTAACAAAACATATTTTTTTGCTGCTTTCATAATAATTTGTTATTTTATCTAGACATTGGTTTTTTGGGAAGTTTACTGGATGTATTCTGTTTCAGTTCCAGCACAGGGAACTCACTGTATGGAATTGGCAGCAGTAACTCTCTGGAGGGTAGATGGGGAGAAGAAGGTGAACTAAAGCATACTTAAGTTACTCAAAGAGCCTGATAAACTTTATTAGTAAAGAAGAAAAATATTGGTAAAATTTAAAAACCCCCTTGAAAATCCTCCCCTTCTACTCTGAAGTAAATACAAACATGTGCACTCATTCTCCCAGTTTAGATAACCACTTTGAGTTAGTTTATAAAAAATCATTCTGATCCCTTTGATGGGACTTGCTGCCTGAGAAAGCACTTTTTTATCCCTGAGCTTAACTATTCACTCTAGAGTGCTGCGGCAACTTGGTTTATGAAACTTTACTTAGCCTTAAGTAAAAAAAAAACCCAAACATATTAACTAAAGTTTATTAAAAAAACTTTTTAAAGTTTTTTTAAACTTTTTAAAAAGTTTATTAAAAAATATTCAAGATTATTTATTTATCTGGATAAATCTATTTATCCAGATAAATAAATCTAAATTTATCTGGATAAATTTATTTATCTGAATAGAAATCCCTGAGGCAGAATAAACTTCACAGAAAACTCATTCACTTCTAACTTTCACAAGGCCTTTTTTTTGCTGGGTAAAAAGACTTTTCTGGGACATGGTGTAATCACAGATTATTCTGACAGCAGCACTGGTTTTAACTTGTGTTAGTAATTCACAACAAAAAACAGAAGCTTGCTGGTTTTTTCCCAGGGGATCTGACCAGAGACTTAACTAACTTCAAAGAGTTCCTAAGAGGATATTTTTCTTTTAAGGAAGGATACCCTCTCAACTTGTAGAACTTTTTTCCCCTGTAACCTATATTCCCTTAGCTTCAAATTATTCCCTTTTCACATTTTTTCTTCTCCATTTTGTACTGAGCTGTCAGATTTGATGCTAGAATATCATAATCATACAAAAAAAAAAAAAGTTTTTTTTTGTTTGACTTTGGGCTCATGTGCATTCAGAAGACTAAAAAATGTCAAGATAACCCAGACATCAGTAAACTAATACTCTCATTCAGACTCATGATTTCAATGCCTCTGGTATCAAAGAACCTCTGTGAATTATCATTGTCTGTAATATCATTACGATAGTCTGTAATTAATAAAGATGAGTTGACAGTAAACTGAAGCCTTACTTAATATTTTCACCTGAATTCAAACAAACCGCATGGGCCTGATAAGCATAGCCTGCCAACAGTGTCTTAGGATTGGACCCTTACAGTCAAATAAGACAAATTTGTTTCATCAATTTGCTATGCTCTTTGTCTTCTACCTAATATAAGGAATAAAGGCACAGACACAAATTTCTATTGCATTAGGAAAAGCCAGGGAAAATAAAACAGAAGTTCCTCACAAAACACTGTCATTAAATTGATTTCATTGGGACAACTTGCAAGAACTTTTTGACGAGGAGCTGGTCTTTCTCTTGTTCCTCACAGTATTAATTACTAGTGAAAAACAATAGATGGAGATGTACTGCCTACCACAGACATACCTAATTCATAGAAACCAGCATAAGAACAAAAGTGTGACCTGGTGGCCTGTATTTTTCATTAGTTGCAGGACGCACATGGTGAGGCTTTATATCATGCTCTGTCCACATTTTCTGTATGAAAACACAGTCAATTTTGTAACCTTTTATCCTGAGCTTGCTTCTGATTACTTGTCAGAGGTATGCTATTAATATGATAATGCTGACCCAGTACTGAAGATTTCCATTAAAGTTGATTAAATTTTGTGAAAGTAGTGTTTGAGTGACTTTTTAAGACAAAGATATTGCATGCAACTGCTCTTATTATACACAAGATCAAGTCAGTATTACTATCTTGGCTAGATGTTGCTGTTTGAAATAAATAATTTATGTCATCTCTATCTTTGACATCTTTACAGGTTAGATGAATTGCAGACCCTCCTCCTACAGAAAAACAAGTTGACTTATCTTCCACGAGCTCTTGTCAATATGCCAAAGCTCAGTTTGCTAGTTGTCAGTGGTGATGACCTGGTTGAGATACCCACAGCCATCTGTGAGTCAACCACAGGTTTAAAGTAAGTAAAAGAGAGAGAGAAAGGGAAATAATCTTAAGAAAATAAGGTAAGATACACCCAGAAGAAATGCTTTCACCAGCATGTTTCTAGAAATTCTGACCTAATTTATATCAGAGTGATAAAGGAGGCACTGAGAAGATTGGAAATTACAGAGCATCTGCAGTTTCATGATTTTCATCTACCAGTTACCCACATTGTCCATCTCTATGTCTAAACTGCTATTCCTGGGTAGACTGGGTCATAGCAGCTCTAGCTCTGGAGTTGCAAAACCATGCTTCAGAGTGGGACCAGTAGCCTGGAATCTAGCTGCTGATAACTTCCGTGATGACAAAAGCATCTTGCTTGGAGAGGGAGACATGGCTAGGAAAATGTTAGGTAAGGTCACAGTAGTTCTTTGCTGTAAAATACCACCTTACTGCTGCATGCAGGATAAGACTAAAAGAACTAAATTGTAGTCTGCAGTTACAGAGATATTGCATTTCTGCTGGCAATGTTCATGTTTTTGATTATGGAACCATTTCAGATTCTATACTGGGTCTGGCTCAGAGTAGAGTTAGCTGTGGATGGAATTACCTTTCCTCTCTTAGAGCTATTCCTTGCACTGGTAGCTAGAAATGTGTTGATAACACATCAGTGTTTTTAGCAGTTGCTAACAGTGGTGGCACGTCATCAAGACTGTCTCTCCAGCCGTTCCCTAAGAAAGCACTGTAGGCTGAAGGTGAGCCAGAGGCTGGGAGGGGACACAGCCAGGACAGCTGGGGACACCAGCCAGAACAGTTGACTTCAATTGGCCAGATGGATGTTTTCATACCATGTGGTGTCATACTCAGTATATAAAGCCAAAAGAAAGAAGAGGGGTGGTGGATCATGTGTTATTGAAATTTTGTCTTCCAAAGAAACCAGCTACATATACTGAGTCTCTGCTTCCTAGGAAGTGGCTAAACATTACCTGTTGAAAAGTAAAGAGTAATTTTTTTGCTTTGCTTTTCTTTTCTTTTCTTCTATGCATAGGTTTTACTTTTTTCATTAAGCTTATCTAAAATTTTTTCATTTGCTATTCTCCCTTGCATAGTTGAAGAGAGGGGCAGAGAGAGGTGTTTGGTGGGTACCTGGGCCAAAGAAGTCAGCTGATCACAAACTTCCAGCAATTCATCAGAATTTTAGAAAACCATATGATTTCTTGGAAAATTGGTTCTTTTGAAAATAACAACTCTTAAAATTTTTTTGTTTCTTGGACTGAAAATCAGAGATTTTCAGAATACTGTGCACTTATTTGCACATGATATAAGTTGTTTATTTAGACCCTTAGTTTTTCACCTGGAAAATGTACTTTTATAATATTTTCAATTTCAAAGTAATGCATGCCCTGTCATATATTGTAATAGATGAGTAATGCAATAACCAAAAAATGGAGGCACATATTGCAGCTAAAAGATTCTGGCAAAATTCCAGATTGCTAGGCAATATTGTTAGGATGAAGTTCACATTGCTCATTAACAGATGGGGAAATTACAGTGTAGTTGGTCAGAAGCTCCGTAATAAAGAGCTACACCTGTTATTACAAAGAACAATTTACGTAGATAGATGGAAAAAAGATAAACCTGATCATTTTTATATGGAAAGTGGATTACAGAGAAAGTTCCTTTTGAAATCTGTATTTCTATAGTAGATGTATCTTAATGCCATCATGCAAAATTGAGATAATGTTCTTTACATTTCTGCTTCTGGCTCTGGTAACAATTTCTAAACTGTCATTCATGATGGCCAGTGATGTTCAGCTGCCTGCACGTACATTTGTGTGTTAATCTCTGTCTAGATTTGTAAGTCTCAAGGACAGTCCGGTTGAAACTATTGTATGTGAAGACACTGAAGAAATTATAGAAAATGAACGTGAACATGAGCAAGTTGAGAAAGAGTTTATGAAAGCATACCTTGAAGACCTAAGGGAAAGGGGTATGTGTAAATTTGCAGTAAGCTTTCTGCTATCTTGAATATAAATGCAGACAGATATTATGACCATTCATTTTTAAGAGGACAAATAATACACCCTTAAACTCCAGTTGTCTTTTATGGTATTAAATAAGACTAATCGTGAAATGCCAAATCTGCTTTGTTAAAAGTTTGGATCCTAATGAAGACCCTTGATATTGAAAAAATGTATACAAAATTAATTGTGTTGGTATATGCCTTAACCTCAATTGATTGATGGTGTAGACAAAGAATATTCTCATTCTCTGGATTTACTTACTTCTCTTGGGATTAGTATTAGTGATTTTGAATTCCTAAAGAAGTGCTTCTCCTCCTCAAAAAGATCAGTATATATATGAAAGCCTCATCATATTGGTAGAATATTCTTTGACAATATTATCTGTTTCAGGTTACTAACTATTTAACCACTGTACAATTATAGTAAAATACCTGCTTTTATCTTTATTACATAGCACCCACAACTTTACATATTTCTTCCTGTTGCTGTTCTATATTTACTGTCATTGAGAAATCTTTGTTCTCTTGAGTGTTCTTTAATAAGATTTGTTAGGAAAAAAGGGAAAGTTTCCTGTGAGACAGGGTACTCCATAGGCTTATTTTAATTCTTTTAATATTTTGTGTGCAGAAAGGACTTTTTGTGGAATAAATCTTGCAGTAGATTTTCATTGTGTTTAAGTGGTCTATATAGTCGTCCTAAAAAACCTGTTAAAAGAGAAATATAAAGAAAAGGTGTGACTTCACAATACATTTCTTGTTCTCATGCTGGATTTCTGTTCCTTAACATCTATAAGTTGTGGATATGAATTCATTCTGTCTATTTCTAAATTAAAGTCTGCTATAAAAGTGCTGGATTTTGATAATGGTAACACTGGTGGTTAAAATGGAGAGAACAATGCAATGGGGGAAAAACTTAGGTCATAATTTGGCTTTAGAGACAGCCATAAAATATGTAGTGATGGAGTTGTGTCTACAGTCTTAGGAAAGGTAGAGGTCTTACTGGCTGCCTGAAACCTGCATTTGACCCTACTGAAAACAGGCCAGGTTTATGCTCTTGTGGGGCAAAGCTGCTCAGAGATGCAGTTCTCTTCCTTCCTAGACAGAACTTACTTCACTGTTTTTTTAAGAAGAGTTTGGATCATCAATCACTTTTGTATTTCCTTCTTCTGAACTTTTGCGCTATAGATAATGCCAATACCTGCTTTTGAAAAACAGACTGTAGAAGGAATAGCTTCTATAAAATATGAACTTGCAGAATCTCTGAAGGACAGCACAGAGATAATTTGCAGAGTACCTTTGAAACAAGACCAAACCCAGCTGTTTCTAGCTAATGGCTTCATTTATTTGTGCTGGATTACATAGCTAAAGTCTGAGAATTATTTCTTTTTTCTCTTTTTGCAGAGTCTACTCCTTCTTACACTACAAAAGTAATGCTCAGTCTTCAGCTCTGAAGATTAAAAATCTCTAGATCTCTACTGAATATCTGAATAACTCTGTTTATATTCACCTGAATAGTAAACACATGAAAATATAGATGGCCAGAATGACATCAAAATCATATTGAATTATTTATTTGTTTCTGTAGGCTTTTCAAGTAACTACAGATAAAACAAGGAGTGGTAGAACCTTCACAAGATGCTGTTTCACATTTTAAGTCAACATGTTTATTTTCAAGTTCACAGCAACAGCCACTAATTTGCATGTAGACCTGCTGAAAGTAAATGTTCATTGTAACTAAGTATACACAGGCATAGCTGAAGAAAGAAGACATTCAATGTTGTAGCTAAAACAGTGAAATGCAAAATGTGATCTTAGGAAGAGATTTGATTTTATAAAAGGGGATAAACTGATTTAGAAAATGAATGTGATCTGTTGTTAAGACCAAATACACATTTAGGTATTTACGATATTGAAATTAGAACACACCCATAGTTTGCTTTTCTGCAAGAAAATTATTCTTGGAATTTTCAGTTTAGATAAGTTTCAACAATGTTACATATAAAGCTGTAGCACTTCTTTTATTAAAGCATATTTTAAGCTCTAACCTGTTTGCAAAATCAAGTACCAATGTGATTGAGATTTCTGCACTAAGCAGTCTTGTAGTATAGTTGTGTACTACGTAAGATTTTAAGGCACTTAGTTGTGTCAGCTAATACCATCAGTAAAATGATGATACAGGTATTATATTAATGGTTTCAGATCACAGGATTTTGTGGACATTTGTTGGAATTTTCCAAGTAGAGTAAGAAAGAGTTTGCTAGTAAAACATTATTTTGCTTGCTATTTAATTATCTGTTTATATACAATTATTTAAGTGTACTTTGAGTAGAGTTTCAGAAACCTAGTTTTACATGTATTTTTTATTTAATAAAACAATCTTTTTAATCTAAAAAACTTGAGACTTTGAGAATTGAGAATCAAATTAGACTCAAATTACAGAATTTAAATGGTCCTAAACTTATGAGTGCAGTTAAGTGAGACAATATTTACATCTTTTCTTTTTGTTATGGGTGATCTATTTTCAGTTTTATGCAGTAGAATGTCACTTAAGTAGCCATATTTAAGAAAAAAAAAAGCAATGAAGGATATAATCCTCAGGCTTCCATATATAAAAAGAACTTTAGATGTTTTCTTTTCAACATTCTAGCATTCAAACTTTTAAAAGAAAAAAAACATTTTAAAGAGTGGGTGTGTTATTTCCTCTTGCAGTCTTCTTTATATTACTATCAAAATGAAACTCATTCAAAATTGTCTGTATGTGTTAATGCAGATTTTAAGCATGTTCTGATCCAGGGGGAAGTTAAAATATTAGAAAAATTGGCATATCTGAAGCAGAATAATAGAAGACTTTTTTTTTTTTTACCATTAAGGACAAATTGAAATAGGATAAAATAGTGTCAAATTCGTCTGTGTGAATTAGGCTATGTGAAACTATCCTACCGCACTTTCTTTTATTGAGATTATAAATTTATTTTATTGATACTGATGCAATAAACTTCTGTAAGACATCTGTTCTGATATTGGTTGAAATTCTATTTCTAGAAGTCTCTCATAGTCTAATATGATTCACTGAAAATTATAGGAATGGAAATCACAAAGGCTGTGTTTATAGAATGGAGCTGCAACTACAAAAAACTAGGGATACAAACACAGATAACAAAACAAAAGTGACAGTGCGAATTCTACACTCAGCAGTATTGGATACATAAACAGAAAATACATGAATAGAGAAGTCGTATTAGTCCTTAGCATTGCCGCTAATCTTACTCAAAAGTTTTTTTGCTGTTCACAGATAAGAGTGCTAAAAATAATTTGGAGACAGAAACAAAAAATTAGCATAAATAAAATCCATGCATTTTTAAGTTCATTGAACAGCATTGTTCACCAGTCCATTTGCTTGTCAATATTTTACATGCAAGACCACTGTCTAGAAGCTGGACGTTTTAATGCAGCAGGCAAACATAAGGCAGAAGACTAAAACTTGAATTCACATTGAATTAGAAATAAAAGGTCTGTTTTTCCATAAAAGTAACCATGAGATTATTTATAAAACACAAATTATCAATCACCAGCAATATTTATGTTCAGGTTAATATGTTCCTAAAAAAAAATCAGTAACAATTAAGTCATGGAAAATGCAAATGCAGGGGGTCCAAATAGTATTCTCCAACTTGACTTCAGACTCCTTTCAATCCAAATTTCATGGAATCACAGATTGATTTCAGTTGGAAGGGACATTCAAAGGTCATCTATCCCAATCGCTCTCTCACACACAGGGACATTTTTCATTAGATCAGGTTTTTCAAAGCCCCATCCAAGCTGACTGGGAATATTTCCCTTGATGGGCCACCCAAAACATCCAGTGACTCACCAATGTTGTCATAGAGAATTTCTTCCTCAGATCCAATTTAAAACTAAAGCTACCCTATTTCAGTTTCTTACTGAAACTTATCCTTTGTCCTGTCACTTAAAATCCTGCTAAAAATGTCTTTCTCTAATGTTCTCATAAGCTTATTTATATTGAATAGCTGCAATAAGACTTCTTTTCTCCAGGCTGAACAACCTCAACTCTCTCCACCTTTCCTCAAAGGAGAGGTATTTCAGCTCTTTCGTCAAAGAAAAGGGGTTTCAGGATTTTTGTATCCCTCTTCTGGATCTACTCTAACAGGGTACTCTAACATCTTTCGTTTGCTGAGAATGATGCAGTACTTCAGGTGGAGTCACAGAAGAGAAAAATAGAGACTCACCTCCCTCAACCTGCTGGCCTTGCTCCTTTTGTTGCAGGATAGGACTGGTTTTCTGGGCTGCAAGAACACATAACTAGCTCATGGTCTATTCTACATTCATTAGTATCTCCAAGTCCTCCACAGGGCTGAAAGCTTTTATTCCTACCTCTTCTAGGACATTACATCCTGAAATGTTATCCATAGATATGATTTTTTTTTTGTCACTGTTGTTAACAGTAACTGTTGAGAAATACATTTGTTTTAAGGGGAAGATGGAGTACGATGGTCCCCGTTACACTTAAGATGTGCAGTGGGTAATGCCAGCTGCCACCTGTTACTGAAATACCTAATTTCAGCATTATTCCATTTGAGTCATACTTCCATGTGCTTTGCATATTTATCATATGATGTTAAATATAACTTTATCAGAGTCCTCCAATGTAGTAAAAACAATATGTATATCAAAAGGTACCTAATTTTGAATTAGATCTAATTGTACTGCTTTTCTAACTGTTTTACTAGCAATTATACTTTAAACTATTATCTTTCATTAGGAAACAATACTACCAAAGAGAATTCTGTTATCGGCATGTTTAATACTTTTTCAATTTTTGAAAGTGAATAATTTTATGAATGACAGCCATTTTTTGTGCAATGAAAATTTCTGTTATTTACAAGCTTCTGATGTCAGGTACTTAGATACATTAAGGAAAACAACGTGCTTTTTCTTCTGCACTGCAT